ACCGGCAACAATGTGCTTCTTAATATAGGATTCAATATCTTCTATTTCATACGCACCCGTAGGAATGACGACACTTTTTTCTTGATTTTTGTTGTTGTTCTCGTAATAATAGAATTTATTGTGGCCCTCGTCAATGTTAGGTACACTATTATAGGAATAAAAACACAATAAACTCAAACCGTAATCGAACCCGTCCTCTAATCTAATTGGATTCACAAAATCAATGGACAACGTTGACTTATGACTCTTCAAGGTGAATATCTGAGACATGACTGAGAGAGGCTACGGTAGGTCAGTTAGTTTTATAGAGAAATTCCACACAAAGGTGACCACAGATGCTTTGATCATAATTTTGATAACAGTCATTCGTCATTGTTGTAAACGATAGCAGTAGCAGCAGCAGCATTTAAATATTTAACGAGTTCACGTGGAGGTTTAAGATTTCCAAAACTATCAAAATACTCAGCTACATTACCATTCTTTCTGTACGCTACCCAATGCGTTCCTTTGTTCTTTCGTTCATCTAAATTAATTATACCACATTCGGTTCTTCTAGCACCAGCTTTAGGTATAGTATCTCGCATAAATACACCGCGAAAAGGTGCTATTTTAAGCTTTTTGACAAATTTCCGTAAGTCCACATAATACAGAGCTCTATTGGGTAGCTTTAATGGTAGTTTTTTGGATGTTGTCGCTTTTTTTAAAATAAATCGAGACCGCCTCGAGCATTTCTGCGTAAGAACAGACCAGATCCTTGTTTTCCCATTTCTTCCATTGCTTTGTTATGTCGTTGATCTTCCTCGAGCTTTCGTTTAGCATTTCTAGAGTCTATTCCAGTTTTGGCGACTGCACTAGCACCCCCCGCAATACTCCCCAAGGCGCTGAGTGGTAAAAATCCTCCACTTTTTGCTTCAAACGGTATCACTCGGGAAACTCGAATATTTTTCCGTCCTCCAGCTTTCTTTTTTGCCATCCGTGCGGCTCTCAATGCTATTGTGGACGACTTGATTAGCTCTTTTATGTTATTCAAATCCTCTGATCGGTTGTGTTTCTTTAAATGTCTTGAAATTTTTTTAACAACATCTCTTCTACCCATCCCAAGTTTACGTTTCACCTTCATTGCGTTAGTAACAAACCACGAAGCGGCTTTTTCACCAAAATTTGCGTCTTTCGACCTCACTCTATTCCAAGCCTGTTGTTCCAAGATTCCATCAGCCTTATGACGTTCGGCTATAGACGAAGATTTCGAATAAGCTATATCATATTGTTTGCAAGCAGCGTCTAAGCCGTTGATTCCATTAGGCCAGTTAAATAGCCGAAACTGAGACAAAAGTGATAACATGGCCACAAAGTTATTTCCGCTGGCGTAATGGTGTAATAAAGGATTGCGAATATTGTTGTATGAATTTGGTTTTCCGGAAACCAGCCGTTTTTTGTAAATCAGCGAAAAACCCGAAAAACCTCTTTTTTCGCTGAAACGGCTGAGGATATCTGGGATTGGATTTTTTACACGTAAATTTTTCTAATTTTTGGGCCATCAATAAAGGTCTTTACAAATTTTTCGCTAAATTGCTTAGTTTTCGCGCTACAGCTTGCTGATGGCTTGTGGGCGAGGGGGTTTGCGGGGACAGAGGCGGCGTACCTGCATACCACCAAGCTGCCGCCACACCGCCTACGCGTTGACGACGCAGACGATCACTTACTACTGATCGACCAGCCAAAGATTGCTAGGGACGAAAGGGGGAAATGCGATGAAAAAACCTTACCATTAGACGATTTTATATGGAGTCATAGGCGGAGATCGGAGAGACTTGAATTATTAATTGAATTTATATTTTATTACAACTGGTAGTTTAATATTTTTTTGCGATTCATAATGACGTGATACCAAACATACATTATAAGAAATAAATATACACAAACACTGAATATTGAGAACAAAATAAATATATTTTTTAGGCAACAAGTAATATTCCTATGTACGCATTATGATTGAACAGCAAAACAAATTATGCATTCTTCTAAAATAGAATACAACAAGTCAAAAATATCTGACTGAATAGAAAAATATAGGAAAACAAAAAGTAATTTCTTGATGAAATAACCCATAAACAACACATAGAATTAGACTTTCTACTGAGATACTAAAAGCCACAAACCAATAGTATAATAAATGAATATCTAAAAATTCTAAAAGGTAGCCAATCTAGTATAGTTTCAATCCTGATTAGAGTCATGATCACTGTCTGAGGAACTGTCATTGCTATCACTTTCACCTCCTATGTTGATTATTATTTCTTCCTGTATTTCTTGAATGAGACTGTCTTTTTCCCAATATTCATCTTCAATTTTTATAACATGTCCAATAACCTTTTGCCAGTCACTGGCACTTACTGAAGCGATGGCCTTATTAGAAATTTCATCTAGTTTTTTTATAGTAAATTCGCCGCTTGTATTATGGCTTCTAATGAAAAATTTTACTTGTGCCCAAATCATCTCTATGGGATTAAACTGACACATATAGGGTGGCGTTCGAAGTGGGGTGTGTCCGAAACTTCTTATTAAATTATCTATCTTATAATTTTTCTCATCAGATGGTGGCCTATGTAGACAAGCTATTTCATAAAGCTCCATTTTTTTAGCATTAGGATCATGCTCTATACCTTTTTTGCTCAACCACGTGATGATGTCTCTTTTTAGAGAAGATCTAGTTGGAGGCTTGTCTTCCAAAGCTGAATGGTAAGGTGCATTATCCATTATTATAATACTATTAGGAGGAATGTTAGGAAATAGTTTTTCAGTAAGCCACTTCGTGAAATTTTCTTGGTTCATTTGACCGTGATAATCACCAGTGGCACAGCCAGCCTTGAAAATGAGACAGGCTCCAGGAACAAAACCATCTTGCGAACCCGCATGAACAATTATAAGTCGTCCTGGAAATGAATAAATAGCCTCATTTTAGTGTTATTTTAAGTTTGCCAACACCTTTTTGAATCACTATGTATAAAAAACATATTTTTGAGAAAAAAATACTTGCAAGGGATTATGTATTCAATTAGACAAATTAAATGAGCACTTATTAAGAATATTCCAAAATTGAGAAAAATGTGTAATAAGCAAAATCGAGGTGAAAGAAACTTTATTACCTGTAGAACTTATATTGCTCAGGACACCCATAATTTCTTCGCTTTGCCAGCATTTCTTGAAAGTGAGGTCATTATCAACCCAAGTTTCGTCCAAATAAATAATATGCCTTCCTTCTTCCCGGAACTTTTTAATAGACCTAAGATACTTGTATCGCCAATGTAAAATACTGGGTCTTTCCATTAGTAATTTCCTTTTGTTGTGGCATTTACGCCAGTAAAATCCTTTTGCTTTTAAAAGCAGCCTCAACGATTCTTTACCAAATGGAAATTCCATTTCTTCCTTCAGTTTGATTAGAAGTTTACTACAAGTAGGTACCACTTTAAAAATCACAGTAAAATTTTTCTATCATTCTCCGAATAATGGAAAAATCGACTCCATCAATTTTTTGGATCACAGAAGGGCGTGATCTCTTTTTTCCGGGAGAAGCTAAAGGCTGTGTGGAGGTTGCATTTTGCCTGTCTTTATCTTCTTTTCTAATTTTACTTATAGTTCGTTCACTAACACCCGTATAATATGCCGCCCTTGCATTTCTAGCTACCAGTGGATAAACGAAAGTATTGTTAGCCGCTTCTGCATCGCAAGCACGTATCACGTTTGCTATTATTTCCCTTGCCTGGCTGTGAATAACTTTCCCATGCTTGAATTCCATTATCACCACTAAACAGTAAATTTATTTTCAAAGTATTTGCCAACTGCCTACGCCTATGGGAGTAGGTTTATAAATGACCGTGCCATCGGCACGTTATTCTAGTTTCAGATAAGATAAGAGTTTTGGACCAATCAGCGACCGGATGTTTACCTGCGGCCTGGGTTTTCCAGCTACATTGCCAAATTCAGCGGAACAATTCTATATCTTAAATATGTTAATATGTATGGACCGCATTTTATGTAGAACATCTGACAACTTCGCAATTTTTTGTCCGCATTCTTTCGGCTTGCAATCTTTCGCTGGTCCAACAGTATATGGTAGCGGTTATTCAGTAATAGTAGAGTTGAATTTCGAACCCTGAGCTCGCTTGTCAGTTTGGCGTTCACCGACTTTTACGAAAGAACTAATTTTCGAAGTTTATGCGTTTAAGTATGTGGAGTAATTTCTCTTCAATTGCTTGTCGATTGACTGGATAAGTGAGGTAAGTATGTGTACATTTTAGAATTGAAATTAAATATTTTTTCCGTAATTTCATTGGAGACAAGGAATTAAGGACAAAGCCAACCTAAAATTCGAAAAGTTATCCGCCATGGATTTTTTAACGAAATTTGTTTTCATTTTCCAATGTTAGTATAGTTTTTTTAATAAGTAGTGCAGTCCAAATTCAGTATATGTTGTCCAAAATTCAGCATGTCTTGGAATTCCATTAGCACTATGTTCTGATATTAAACAAAAATCAGACAAATTAGACTTACTGGATCGAAAATTGCATTACACTTACTGGATACCGATTCTCACTGAAATTGTTTCTGTTATTCAATAGGAATAAAATGCAGCAAAATAGTAACTGCGCCATTTGCAGTTATCCGATGGCGCGCGGCAATTGCAGGATCGTGGGGAAGAAGGGAATTAGTACACTGATCACACAGAGCAAACGCGTGGAAGACAAAAAATGGTTGGATTGGGAAAAAAAGGAAAAACTGGACTGCCATGAGAAGTGTAGACTTTCATACTCGGTCAGTGGAACGTATACTCAGCATTTTGCGTTGAATGCACCAAATAACAATGTCGTAGCTGCAAGGGATGAGGTTCCTGATTTCCATTACGCTGATAATTGCTTCATTTGTGGTTTGAGTATAATAAAAGATGCGAAAACAAAAATCTGTACAGTCACACAAAAGAGACGCGTGATAACTTGATTGCAATGGGAAAGGAAAGAAATGACTCTTTGGGAATTAGCGTTGTTGAAAGATTAGAGAACATTTCTTGCTTAATTCGCGTACAAGGCAGATACCACCGGACATGCATGTCTCATTTCAATGCGTATGGTTTAAAAAAAAATATCGATGATCTAAACTGGTCTAGAATCGATTCATTGTTAGAACCTGTGTGGCAAGTTCTTGAAGAAGACAAAAATGTTATTCATTATTTGTCGAAGTTAGTAGAACTTGTGGATGATGACTCTATAGATAGAAGGACTGTAGCAGATCACATTAAAAAACGTTACGGTGAGGAAGTTGAGTGCAGTATAATGGGGGGAAAAGATATACGTGTATGCTTCAAAAGTCATCATGTTTTTAATGTGTCAGCAGACCCATCAACTTTCACAGAAGGGCAGATACAAGTTATTTTGCTTCAGGCCTCAAATATAATGCACAGAGAGATTCGTAGCAAGCAATTTGTAAGCGATAAGTACCCACCGTCCAATCAATTTGTAAGCGATCTTTCCTCCGATTATCCACCCCACTTTTCGTTCTTTATTGAGCACTTTCTCCTTATCGCTGACGAAGAGGAAGATAAAAAAGCAAAGTCTGTGAAGCGAGACATGATATCTCAATGCATACTTTCATTCATTCAGCCACGTACGTTTTTGTCCACCCTCCACTTGTCGATTGGGACATTGATTCTGAGAAAAACAGGTTCCAAGTACATCATAAATCTTCTGCATGCATTAGGCGTTTGCACTTCTTACTACAATATTGAATTGTATGAGGCTTCAACAATAGTGAATCCACCCAGATTGATCATCGAAAAACCTTTCGTACAATTTGTATTTGATAATACTGACCACAACGTCAGGACCCTGGACGGACGGGAGACTTTCCATTGTTTAGGCGGAATACAGGTTTACACTCCGGAGCACGAAATCACACAATGTGGAAGTGTCGAAAAACTTACTGAGATGCCTTCCGCAAATATCCTTGCAAAGCAAGAACAAATTCCAATCTTCCCTTACGTCGAGCCGCCAAAAGAGGGCTTGAAACTTATAGAATTCATCGATACAAATTTACTGACCATGGTCGACATGCCTCTATTCCCCCTACTTACTCAACTTATTTGTGGGCTAAATACGTTGATCCTGAGAATGTACCAGCATGGCGAGGTTTCATGGAGATATGTTCGGAAAATGAAAGTTTCCAAAGGTCGGGGGTGCAATGCCAACAATTCATTAACGAAGTTCCATCTAGTCTAACAACCATTTATACATCAATCATGCATGCAAAGAGCGAAACCCGTAAATGTGGTCAAAAAACCACTATCTTAACTTACGACTTGCCGTTGTACATGAAATGTCGCGATATTATAGCGAAGTTAATGTTGCCCGACGTTTTTGTTCGCTTAGGCGGATTCCACATGTTAATGTCTTTTTTGGGAGCAATAGGTATTATCATGGGAGGAAGCGGACTTGAATCTATGTGGGAGCTTGCTTACGCTAGTACCTAGTGAATCCATAAAAAAATGATGGACGGGCACAATTATTCAAGAGCAGTCCGAGCACACATTTTGACGTTTACAGCTTTAGGCATCGTAATTTGTGATTCAATCGAAGAAAAAGGCGAGATCAAAGGGGTTATCGCATCATTGATGCGTGTCTGGCAGAAAAATCCTCTCAAGCTAGGGGACAGTGACTCTGATAAGGACCTGAAGAAAATGTCTGATTTGTTTTATACAAAGTTGAAGCAATTGAAAAATAACGGCCCAACAGCCAAGTTGTGGGTGCAGTACATTGAAGCCGTGCTTATTGTCTTGCGTTTTATTGAAGCAGAACGTCTTGGAAACTGGGACCTTCATCTTGATGCGTTCGAAGAATGTTGCCATTGTTTCATGCCGCGGGACATTTTCAATATGCAAAAGCAGCTCAGATTTATTTGCAGGATATGGTACTTCTACAGGACATCATGGATCCTCAAGAGTTTCACCAGTTTGCCACGCAGGGTTATTTCACTATCCACAGGTCGGATAAGGCTTGGTCCGGAATCTGGAGTGACATGACAATCGAGCAGACATTGAATAGGTTTTTTGGGACTGACTTGAAACACGGAAGAGGTGTTACGCGGAGTGTCGTGTCTCGATATTTGCTGGGGATGCCTTGCGCCGTGCATGTGATGCAAGCATTGGAAGAGTATTGTAACCTGGAGACGAGAAACAGTGAGCAGCATGTTGATTTGGGCAAAGGACGAAAAGCATGGGACGCAAAGGACATTGCCTCATTCGTTACTTGGTTGAAGGGGCATGAACCATTCAAAGTCCGCGAGGAATTAATTTCGCTGTCAACTGGAGTTGTTGGTGGTGTGGAAATAAATTGTCATATGGCTTTCGAGCGTGGCACACAAGCAATGTGTCATATAGTTGGACGCACTTATGAAAAGGTGTCGCTGTCAAAATTGTACAAGATCAAGAATTTGGACTTTGCACGGACACAATCTCAAAAAGCTATGTCTTCCACTGTCACTGTTGATACCTCTCTATTATTTCAACGTCTGTCTGTGGCTATGCGTGGAAGGAAAGAGTTGAGTAAATCTTGCTTCGACTACGAAATGTCTCCTGTTCCACTTAGTTTGTTCGACGAGAAAGGATCAATGCGAAAGACCGACAAGTCACAGTTATATAAAATGTTCACTACCCTATCCTCACGAGCATTTTTTGAAGATTCTCAGTTTGTTGTAGACGGAGGATGGTTGCTTCACAGCCTCGTCTGGCCTCATAGTAAGACATACCGTGCAATCTTTGATATGTACAAGAACTTTCTTGTTCAGCGGTTTGGTCGGAGCGTCATTATTGTTTTCGACGGATATGAAGATGAACATATAGGTGTCAAATCATACGAGCGAGACCGTAGACAAGAAAGAAATTGTGGCGTGGACGTTGAAATTGAACCAGACAATCTCGTCCCATTGAACCAAAGGACATTTTTGTCCAACGTGAAAAACAAGGCTCAATTTGTTTATCACCTTGGTCAAACTCTTGCAACATATGAGGGATTCAGTTTTACCGTGATCCATGCGAAAGAGGATGCGGATGTTGAGATTGTGAGAACAGCTCTGAAGACTCATAACGAATTGTTTCGTCACGGGAAATCACGAGTTATAGTCGTCGGCTCGGATGTTGATCTCTTAATATTACTTATTGGACTCACTCCAACCTCAGAGAGCATGTACTATTACAAGATGGGCCAGGGGGGCAAGGCGAACCAATTGTACGATACTCGGGATCACAAACATTTGCAACCATTTCTACTTTTTGCTCATGCCTTTGCGGGCTGCGACACTACTAGCTGCTTTTTTGGGAAAGGGAAGATGAAGCTGGTGAAGTTGCTGCTGCAGAACGACAGCATTAGAGCGCTGGCGCTGAAGTTTTACGAGCCGGACTGCTTGGAAGACGAATTGCTGCAATGTGCAGAGACGATTACTCTCGCACTATACAAAGACAAAGAACAGTCTTCTTCTCTCGGGACTTTCAGATACAATTTGTTTTCTACAAACTTAGCAAAGGCAAAAAAGGAAACGCCCCTAGAATGTCTGCCACCAACATCTCCTGCCTTGCTTCAGCACTGTAAACGAGTGTACTATCAAATCCAGGTGTGGCTTCAGCATAGATTAGATCCCTGCTTGTGGGGATGGACAAGACAGGGTAATATTCTCATTCCGATCATGTCTGAAGCAGATCCCGCACCAAAAGAACTGTTACAAAAGGTATGTGTGAAATGTATTCAATTTGAAGCAATAAATACAACTTGCTACAACTAATTTTTACTACACTTTTGATCTCATGTACTGTCTGACCGGAATTAAAATAATTTTTGAACAATGTGAGATCTAGTTTCAAGTAAAATAACAAATTTTTAGACTGATCTATGGAGCACTATAAAAGGCCTGTCATTGATTTCCCTTACAAGACAACTGATATTTAGATTATAATAATTCTTATGATAACCTTTTTTCAGGTTTCCTGTGGATGCCAAGGGCCCTGCAAATCGAAGCGATGTAACTGCCGAAAAGCCGGTCTAAAGTGCAACCCTGCTTGCAAAGTATGCCGCGGAAAATCGTGCAACAACTCAAAGAGATGGACTGCTACAGAACACCATGATAGCGAAACTCCGACTACTACAGATGCATGTGAGGAGGACGGTGGACAAACTACCGTAGAACCCGATAATGAGGACTTAACAGAAGATGATGAGACCTCATCAAGCAGCCACGATGCAACGACCGATGACGAGGAAATTAACGAAGGACTTTAATGACTTTGACCTTCAATGATTTATCCTACTTGTAACAGATTGGGGTGGATATAACATTGAACTGATATATTAATTCTCTTACATGCTATTGTAGGTTTCATTGGCTCAAGTGAGGGTTTTTGTACAACTATATGTGTGAAATGTAAAGTAACAAATGTAAAACAAACATATTTGAACACAAAAATAATTTGTTATACTCTATCAAAATAGAAAATATAAAAAATTGATGCAACTTCCAATTAATGGTTTGTACATAATTTCTTATCTCGATTAAAATATAATGGAGTAATGTTTTTCCACAGCGAGTGTGCAGAGAAGATATCGTCAAATACTCATCACCATCGGCCATTGTCTATTCTTTACATATTTGCGTTGGCGTAGGTCAGACCAACGTATAGATGCGGCTCAAAAACTGCTAAATCTCTTATCATGATCGTAGATTAACAACTACCGGTGATCAAACTGATTTGCGAGGATAACTATGAAAATAACGTGGAGCCTCGAAAGCGAGTCTTTTGATGACTCATTGGGCTTCTACATCCTGTAATGTATTCTTATCATTGCCACTCATTTATATACACGTTCACACCTTTTTTGCAGCTGTAGGTTTTTTATTGTTGTTCCAATTCTAAATGAAAATATTATACCTCACTTATCCAGTCAATCGGTAAGCGGCTGAAGAAAAATTACTGCATCTTGTACTCTCAAACGCAGAAATTTCAAAAATTCATTAATATGCATAAGTCGGTGAACGCCACAACTACAAACGAGATTATTATTCGAAATCGACTGGCCTATCACTGAGAGAGAGACACTGAGGACGTCGAAATAAAAGAGGATCGTTCCGCTTCAACGGTGCGGCGTCTGGCGACAGGTGTACGCGCGTCCCTTTCCCCGCAAACCCCCTCGCCACAAGCCATCAGCAAGCTGTAGCGCGAAAACTAAGCAATTTAGCGAAAAATTTGTAGAGACCTTTATTGATGGCCCAAAAATTAGAAAAATTTTCGTGTGTAAAAAAATCCAGATATCCTCAGCCGTTTCAGCGAAAAAGAGGTTTTTCGGGTTTTTCGCTGTTTTAAAAAAACGGCTGGTTTCCGGAAAACCAAATTCACACAACAATATTCGCAATCCTTTATTACACCATTACGCCAGCGGAAATAACTTTGTGGCTATGTTATCACTTTTGTCTCAGTTTCGGCTATTAACTGACAAGCCGTTTTTTGCAGATGAGTTCCAGGACCGCAATACTGGAACTGAGGTAGATGAAGCTCGATGGAAAGCCGATCAATTAGCGAGTTCAGAACACCTTCTCCTTCTCTTACTCCTCCTCCGTCTCGCTTGAATGTTAACATAAAATAATGAGCACACGCACATTTTGTGATTATATTTATAATGATCTGCATCACCTTTAGTGTGTCAATAGCGAAATGCGTTATTCAGCAAAAGCAACTGCACTGCTTATAGAAAAATTTGGATTTTGCTGAGAAACAACCTTCGAGCCAGCAACTGGAAAATTATTACCGAA